CGGATGTTTGGTTTGGGCCAGAGTGGTTATGATCTAATCTAACCTAATTTACCCTAAAAAATAAGTTATGTACTCCCCAGTGCATTTGGTTGTGCTCATTTAAGATTGACCAACATCTGCTGTAACTCCTAACATAATCCTACAGTACATGGAAGCAGTGGGAAACGAATATCAATCTTAACCTCACCCGCTTCTACACATCTTATGACCTGTATATCTATATTCTTATTTGGTTCTTTTCCTTGACTGCTTGGCCACAGTACAAACTATATAGCACGTAGGCCTTCTCCCTGACATACCCTTAACGCATCAGTTGACACTAGTTACTACCACGGTGAAGTAAACACGAGTCTGTGGCAAGTGTTCAAAACTGGCAGAGGCTGATTGGCTGAATAGTAATGTACAGTCGGGGTCAAAAGTCTTGAACACTTGACAGTATTTGGCATGTAAGTACCCAAAGATCTTAGGTATTAAGGAGAGTTTTATCCCATTTTGTGGTTCAGGCATATGTGTGATGACAAGTAGTGTTATTAGTGCATCCCAATCATATATATATAACTCAGAGTAGATGCCAGATATTGCCAAGTGTGCAAGACTTTTGACCCCAACTTTACAAATCACTCTCCAGAACAATAAACTTCATAACAAAAAAGTGTACTTAAAGGTACAGTTGTCTGAATATAGGAAATTAAATGAGGGTTCCAAATCATAATAGACCATTAGCATGCAGTGTGGATACATCATATTGTATACTCAGGTTTCAGTATACAAGGAGGATGGATGGTCAGCATTGCATTCTACTGTCTTCACTCTTCCAACTGTAAGGTACCCATTTACAGCTGGGTGGACTTGGAGTACATGTACTCTTATGATGGGAAGCAAATAATGTTTCCATGTACGTATATTATAAAATTATGCTCACACACACATATTACTTCATTTAATCGTCAAAATAAGCATTCATTACTATAACTAATGTAACTGTAGAAAATACTTTACCAATTTATCATCAAAATATCATGTTAACAAAAATACTGCCCCTTCCCCTAATCTCATGAAGATCTAACATTTTAAGTTAGTGTTCTTTATCAAGTCACTACTCACTGACTCTCCTTTCCCCCTCAACTATTAATATTGTTAAATTATCACTTACAGTATTCTTATTTCACTCACTTCACCTAAACTCGATTTATGTATATGAGGAATTCTCATATAACTTTTAACACCATTAGTAATCTAAAGTCATAATGGAAATTTCAAAGTGTATCTGTGAAACTTGACACACAATGTATTTTATGAAATACTTTGATCATAAAGGCTACCAGTACTGTACTTTAAATATGTCTCATTCTTACCTTATACAGTATTCCTGAAACTAATTGCTGGTTGTTTTACATGAAACCAATGAGGAGAGCCATTAACTTGTGATGTTAATCCATGTGTGTTGGTGGAGGAGGATGTGTGGCTGTGCTGCCAGCTGTTCAGGCACTGACACAATCCCTGCATGCTGTTCACCACCACAATCAATAGAACCAAAGCTAGACTGAGCTGAGGTGCTCACAGAAAATGGTGATGCTCTTACCTGTAACTTATATAGAAAATGATAACTTTACAGTACCTCTGGTCTGCTAAGGAGCACTATATAAAAACACAGTTGGGATACTGTGTTCTAATAACCTTTTGTAAATGATTTATTATATGTACGGTGTTTATTAAAATGTTTGAGTTTGGGTCACTTTAGGATAGTAGCCACGTTAGGTTAGGGAGTTGGCACTAGAAACGAATCTGACCTTCATTTCTGGTGCTAACCAACCTAACCTAACCTAACCTTCTCATAATGTATCATTCTCTTCAGTCCATTGTTTACCTATTGCCGAGTACAGAGCTCTTCAAGGGGATGTTTTGTTTTTTTAACTTGCTATATCTCGGCTATTTCTCATCAACGCAGAAAGTGTCATAGAAGAAATTCATCTTATTTTTGTAAGGTAAAGTGGTTGCAAACAATATAATAGCAGAATTCGCAACCTGGCTACTATCCTAAATTGACTCGAGTTTGTTTGCAAGTGATAATAACAGCTGTTACAAATATTAAATACTCTACTGACTTTTGATAGCATTTACATGATCATGTCTTAATATAAGAATCATTTACACTTACCACAACCACATTAATCTAGATTTTTTTCCTACATTCTGTTCTATGCATGTAAATACACAGCTGCAATTCATGAGATACTGCCAAATATTTGAAAACTCAAGTCCACCCTATCAGAATAAATTTTTTCCAAAGTACTGTACTTCAATTTTTTGGTACTGTATCTTGTGGGCTTAATGGAGTCATAGTTAGACATAAGGCCAACCTCAATTAAGTATAATCTACTGCACTGTACTTTGTGACCAGATGTAAAATTCTGGATGTTAAACTATACAGGACAGTGTAGCAGCAGGGCTACTGTACTGTATAGTACATATAAAGTACAGTATAAAGCTTCTCCCCGACCTACAACGGGGTAAGGGACCCAAATCCAGGTCGTAAGTCAAAATGGTCGTGTCGAAAATGATTAATAATACATAGAAAATCTAAAATGGGTGTCTCTTTTTCTTCTCAGCACCACGAAACTCTCACTTTTAAGCTTGCCAGCCATTTTAAAGTGAATTACAAATGAAAGTTTTGTCTGTGTACCGACGTTGGGATTCGAAAATACGTAATTTGACCAAATTTTGGTACGACTGAGGTGGGTTGTAAGTGCGGGTGGACGTAAGTTGAGTAAGTCGGGGAGGAGCTGTACTGTACAAAGACAGGAATACATTGGAAAATAAATGTGCTGACTTTTGTTTATCATTCATTAACAAATTTGTAAACTGTAAAATTACTATACAGTATATAATTGCAATACAATGACTAATTTGTATACAGTATACTTGTAGTCTACATAAAAGCAATACAAAATTACTGTACATTTTCATTACTAGGTTTGCATACATTATACAGTATATAAAAACATTACAAAATTACTGTACATTTTCATTACTAGGTTTATGCAGTACATAAAAAAATTTAAAATTACTGTACATTTCATTATTAAATTTGTTTAGAGTATACAAAATTATTGTACACTGCCTCTCAGCATCTTAACCTGTGACTCACAAACTTCTGCATACACACACTAATCATGGTTACATTTTTAGCTACAATATTAAGAAAATACCCAAATAAGATTAAAATTACAGGTTGTACCTCTCTAGTCCGGCAACCTTGGGACCTGACCGGTGCCGGACCATGGAAATTCGCCCTTTTCCTGGATAGATAGTGACTTGTGCATACACTTGGAAGCACTAGCACCACTTTCACTGCTTCGTGGTCTCTTTGAGGATATATTGAAGGGTTAAATGTTGTACAGTAGGTTCTCAAATTTCGCGAGATTTTAATTCAACGTTTTTTTATTTGGACACAAAAAAAAAAACACTGCACAATTTAAAATTTCAACAGCGAAAACTCGAATTTCGACGGGTTTGAGCAGCCCGCCAACGTTCAGACATGCACAATTGTGTAAACAGTGTCATTTCTCGATGTACAAAACATTCATTATTGTTTATTACTGAATGTTTCTTTGATTGAATTAATGTTTATGTGTGCAAAATGAACAATACAATTCATTAATAATACATAGAATATTAAAACACACGAGGAGACGAGACGGTATTGTTTTCGTTAATGTTTACATAACCAGTGACTGATTGGTTCTACATATAAAACTGAAGAAAATAAGACCCTGGTTGTAGCTGTAGTAAAATTAATATGGTTGTTTTAAGTAATGTTATTTAATGTTAATAAATGGAACATTGGAAGTAGCTAACCATTAATAATAAAGAAAAAAGTGAGATCACGTATGGAAGTGAGCACATGTGTAAACATATCGTCATTACTCTACATAAGAATATGAAAGCAATACTTATTTACTGTTCATATATATTTTAATTAATGTTTCTGAATTTAAAACAAAAATTCTACCCACCAGTGGTGTTAAAGCTGAAAACATAAAGACAGCCAATGTTGTTGTGTGTGTTTTTACATAAGAACATAAGGAGTCTGCAATAGGCCGGTTGGCCTGTGCATGGCAGCTCCTGTCGAGAGTTACTACCACTCTCTATCATCCATGAATCTATCTAGCCTCCTTTTGAAACTTTCCAGAGTTCCCGCACTTACTACAAAGTTGCTAAGCTTGTTCCACTCGTCCACCACCCTATTTGTGAACCAGTTTCTTCCTATCTCCCTCCTAAACCTAAACTTATCCAACTTCAATCCGTTGCTCCGAGTCCTATCCTGCTCGGATATTATAAGAACTTTATCTATATCCCTTTATTGATTCCTTTCACCCACTTAAATACTTCTATCATATCTCCCCGCACTCTTCGTCTTTCTAGGGAATGCAAGTTAAGTTTCTTTAACCTATCCTGATATGGAAGGTTTCTAAGTCCCGGAATCATTTTTGTCATTCTTCGCTGCACCGACTCTAGTGAATTTATATCCATTCTATAATAGGGGCACCAGAACTGAACCGCATAATCGAGGTGCGGCCTAACTAGCGCAAGATAAAGTTGCAATAAGACCTCTGCACTCTTGTTACTTACACTTCTAGATATAAAACCCAATACTCTGTTTGCCGTATTTCGAACATTAACGCACTGTTTTCTAGGCCGTAGGTCCGGGCTTACAAGTACCCCTAGGTCTCTTTCACAAGTCGACTTCTCTAGGTTGATATTGTTAAGGCTGTATACATTATAAGTTATGAGTATTTGTACTCGGATGACGAAGTTGACAAGCCATCAGGTTCAACTCTAACTGAAGCTGTAGAACATAAGAACTTTTCTGTGTTGTTTTTAGTTTTTATTTAACTTTATCTGTGTTATTTTCGTTGGTTTATTAGGATGTTGCTTTATTACAGGTATAATTTGCCAAAAAAGTAGGGTAAATAAGGCAAAATTTAGACAAACATCAAAAGTACCACTCAAATTAATTTTCTCCATGGGCAAACTAAAATCGTTCCGGACCACAGAATGCCAGACTAGAGAGGTACAACCTGTATTATAAATTTGCTCTAAATTATATACAGTATATGCAACTAATAATCGATATTCAGTCAATTTAACCAAGGACAACTAACAAAGCCATGAGAGGCTTGTTTCCAGTAGAGTCCTATGCCAACAGCATCTAGTTTTGTTAGGTCACCCAAACAAAGTACTAACCAGACCCAACATTCTTAACAGTATGTAGCAAGAAACAGTGAGCGAGAGAATATTACCAATGTATACACAGTACTGTAATGTTTAATCTACAGTACAGTTTCCAGTGGATGTCCATGATTACTGGGTACAGTATGGCAGACCAGTAGTAAAGGTACAATACTCTACTTAAGGTGTAGAAGCTGTCACAACCACTGTCATACCCCGAGTTAAAAAGCTGTATGATTTTCAACCAACTGACTCTATTCAACTTGACCCAAGTGATTCATGTCAAATGAAGTCAGAGTAAGGCCATTTAACCATCACTATCAGAGTCTGTGTCAAGAACAAGTTCTGCAAAGCGGTTGTTGACCAGTCGACACAATTCTTCCTTATTTCTCTTCGTTTGTAACAATTCTTTGCATGTATCCTTCACTTTATTTCTCCCCGAAAGTTCTGTACTTGTGTCCTTTCCGTCAGTTAGGTTCTGACATTTTTCTCTCTCAATAATCTTGGTATCTTCAACAGCCTCTTTCTCAGTATTTGAGTTTGTTTCTTTATATTTTTTCTTAGGGACTTTCATATTTTCCACAAACTCTACCATACTGGTACACTTCTGTAAGTTCAAAACTACACCTAACCTTTTGAAGAGCTTGAGAAATAACCTTTCAAGACAAGTTCCTCTTCCTAAAAAATTGGTAATCTTAACTAAAGGGTTTGATTTTTTTTTTTTTAGCTCATGGAAAATGTTGTAACAGAAGGTCCCACCCCAAAGACATTCAACACTTAACATGGGGAAGGGTGAACACAGCAAACTGTTCAAGAGTTGCATAAAATATATGCATGCTTGGTATTCACTGAAGGCATGAACAGTTTTCCTGCTGTAGTATTTATTGTTGATCTTTTGATCCATATGGTGGAACTTAAAAAGATTATAGCCAGCTACCAGGCATTCTTCATGGGATATGTGCACAAGGAGATCCTTCACACTTGCATGTGGGTTGTGGTATGTTGCATCACTTAATAAATCTGACACCTTAACCTTGCATTTTTCGATTTCTTCAAATTCTTTCTTTGTTCTGACTCTTCCCATTTTACCATCAATAATATAAAACATAAATACACACATTAACACTGCTAAGGCATGGTGATCCTTGAGTGGCAGTTTGCTACTTCTGAACCAGTAAATAATGAAGTCAAGAATTAGCTCTAGGTCACCAGGCATATCAAGATCCATAAATTCAGTGCCTGAACCAAGCATAGAGTAGAATACTTGTTTCTTTTCTGAGGCAGACATTGAACCAACTTCACTGAGAGAAGGCAAAGCTCTGGCTTTTTTCTTCGGCAAATGTGAAAGAGTTTTAATCCAAAGTTTATTCCCTTTTCTCATATACCACTTGAGGCCATATGTTCTTGTTCTGATCTCTCTACCTGATACCATAAATTCAGTATCATCATCATCTTCTTCACACATTTCATCCAATTTTAAGTCTTCAGCTGTTTCTGGTACTTCCTCATCACTAACCTCTTCTTCTCCCATTCTCTGATGATGCTCTTCAAGTTGTGGCATTTCTTCTAATTCACTATTTACTGGGTCTTCTCCACTCTCTTCCTCATCTTCCTCCACCACTACATCAGAATCATACATCACATTTGAGGCATAATGATCATCTCTCTCTCCTGTCTGACCATAGTCTCCAGTGGATGAAATATATTGTAACTTTCCTTGAACTCCCTTTCCCTTGACCATATTAGCATCTTTATCATGAGAGTTAAGATGATGGCTACATACACTGTGCCACAGCATAGTGTATATTGACTTAACAATTGACTCCACAACCAAGTATGAACAGTCTGAGCATCTCTCTTCCACTTGCGGGGGCGAAATAAAATAACTCTGGGTTAAAATATCTGCCACCTCGTGTGGAATCCTGTTTTTGCGATAAGCTTCCATGAACCAGTTTGGAAGTTTACTGCCATCCTTCAAAACTAAATCTGTTTCTATCTCAGAATTTTTAGTCAAAGTTTTTGTTTCCAGTAAACAACTAAGAAACTGAGAATCATTGTTATACAAGAAGGACTTAGGTTCCCCCAGTTCCTCTGTGGTGGATTTAACACAAGAGTCTAAAGAAATAAAACTAAGAAGGTTGGTTTTCATATCAGTGTAGTGGTTCACTGAATCTTGTATCTTGCGCTTTAACTTCTTACGATTGGCGAGTGTAACCACCTGAGAAAAAAATAATGTTGTCATCATTAATAAGAATAGTAATTACAATAATGTAATAAAAATAACAATGATGAGCGGTATTCATTTCAAACATGCCACTTTTTCTAAAGGTAAAACTTGGGACATTGTGCTCTCAATTTTTATCAATTTGATGGCATTTTTCCCTTAGCTAGAAACATTTTAAAATACATGCACAGTATTAACAATTTGCTTGCAGAGAGCACTGTACTGATTTATATTCTGGGTGGGAGTAAGCAGTGGCAGCTACTGAAACCAACTGCCCTGAAAGCTGTCTGCCAAACACTACCCGGTCCATGTTTATGTCCTATTTCTATACAACACTTGAGTATCAGGAATCTGAAAGGCTTAGCACCAAGGAACTATTGGAAACCTGATATACATACGCGACACAACTGTTAACCCGAGTGGTTCAACATGACAAGACTTGTCCATACAGGGTGAGCATAAAGTCTTTCCCTGATTATGAAAAATCATATCTCGAAGACCATTCTAGATAGAAACATGAATGTTGTAGCATTGTGTAGACGAATTCTTAGATTTTTTTCATGCATATTTTAAGCTGCAAAAAACTGTATGTTTGTACCTAGCATATGTTTTGTGTAATAAATGTTTGTAATCAGGGAAAGACTTTATGCTCACCCTGTATTATTGAAATAAAAGATTTATAAGTCACCTACTCATTATAACCAGAGATTACATTTTACAATAGGTTAAGCCACTGATCCCCAGGGGTTGAGAGAAGCCGAGTTGCAAATTATAGGATGGTCCAATGAGCAAACTATTAGGATTTTGTTGGAAGTACACGGGGGGGCCCCCATATTCGCAGGGGTTAGGTTCTCAAAATGGCCGCGAATCGCCAAATTCACGAATAACATTTGCGGACGGGGTGTGTGTACATTTTACTTGTGTACAAAGAAATGCATACAGTGGTCCCTCGGTTAACGATTTACCTTCCATAAGATTCTTAACTTCGGTTAACGAGCTATCCCTCGATTAACGAGTTTTTTACGAGCCGACTTCAACATGTTTTCGCTTGCATTTGGCGGTCCACCAGCTGTAGTATTAGTCCGCCAATACAGTAATCGGTTTTAAGGCTTAAATTCCTTACTATTTTAGTAAATATCAAGAAGTTTATACTATTCAATAATTTTAAAAGTTTAATATTAACTTTTTTAGTCATTTTAACAATTATTGAGCATAATTGAAGGTAAAGAAACTAGTTTCTGGCGTGCCATCCAGCCTGTTAACACACCAGACAGGCGTTAATCTCTCTCTGTTTTCAGTGGAGGTAACATCTTGCTTGGGACTCTCTTCAACTAAATGCTTTTTTTTTCTGTGTTTCCAAGCAAATTATTGGTCATTTTGAAATACATTTTACATATTGACAATATATAATGCAGTGCAGTGTTGATTTAAAGAAAATAATCTTGAATTACACCAAGAGAGCTAAAATTTTATGGGTGAAATGGCACCATGGGGTGACTTCTCTTCCACCCCAATGCCTTCTCTTCTTCCTTCTCCTCCACCCCCATTCTAATTCCCATCATCATCATCATCATCCAGGAGCCTTCTCCATACACACCTCAAAGTAAGTGTACTTTTCTACCTTTTTTGTTGAATTTAGGCAATTTTCGGTGAGCTGGAACCAATTATCCAAAAACCCATTGAAACAATGGTTTCGGTTAACGAGTTTTTCGGTTAACGAGCAACCTGCTGGAACGGATTGTGCTCGTTAACCGAGGGACCACTGTATTCCCTTTATGTGTTTGCACTTAGGACAACTATTTCTTTTACCTGTAGTATTGTATGTGTGTGTGTGTGTGTTTAGAGACACACACACATATCCTTGACCACCGGAGGATCAAGACCTACCATGAGCTGCTATGCAGCAGCCCCCCTTGGCCATATTCGGCCCCATTCCTCAAGTCCCTCTCCCCGAACAATCCTCACCAACGGGATATCAACATAATCAAAAGTGACAATTTAATTTCGGAAAGAAGTGGGATCAGTGTTGAACAGTAATGAACAGTGTTTAAGCCAGTGAATTCAGCATTAGACAGTACCAGTGAAAGCAGTGACCCACCACTGAGATAAGTACCCCTGGGAACTGATCACCATCTTCTGACCAGAAGGTGCTAATCAGTCCACCATGGGAACAACAGTGGGTCGGCTTTACACCTGACTACAAGATAACACAACACCACAAAGCAGAAAATAAGGTACTGTGACACCACCCCACACCACAAGGTGCCTCATGACCATGCAAGGTCCTTCATATCAACACCTACGGACGAGTTACTGAACCACGAGGCCTATGTGACCTCACACAGTATGGCAAGAGACCAGCCCGGGCCATCAACTGTAAACTATAATAATTATTTATATGTTCATGTTCCTTCTCCTTTCAGAAAGGAAAACAACCCACCCTCCCCATGTCTTTGTATGTATCAAGTCATTGTTGTCTAATGTATATTTTCAGCCTTCAGGCTGCGGAACTATTTTAATAAACCGTTAATTTATTATTATTAATAAAGTACAGTAATAGAGCTAGGAGGCAGACTGTCACATTTTAAATAAATTTGTTTCTGACTATTTGTGAGAGTATTTTACAATTATTATTTACTAGTATGTGTTTTGTGTGTGTCAACACACATACACATATTTACAATACAGGGAAAGGAAATTACTATCTCTGGAATGAATGGCTCCCTGTCCCAGCCACAAAAATGCCAGCAACTTTAAAACTACCCACAGACTTTCTTGGGTACATCCAGGGTGTGATCCGCGAATAACCGAGAACCGCGAAGTAAAAATCAGCTAACTTGGGGGCCCCCTGTACTACAGATTCTTAACTAGATTATTGGCAGTCACAGCTCAACACAAGGGGAAAAACAAAACACTTCCCTGTCCAAAATTAACTTCTCAGAACTAGCCAAAGACCAACTGAATCCATGTAAATCAAATGTAAGTAAGTATGCCAGTTCCCCATTAGAAGATTTAACATGCACACCTGCTTTCTGACCAAGTGTGGTCTCCCAATGACCCCTCCACCTCCAAGACTAGCAGCCACTTGAGGTTTCCTGTACTGTATCTTAAATTAAGTCAGGGTGAGCCTGATCCTCAAAGGAAAAACAAAAACATGAATGAATGTGGAGTGTATTATAGAATCATTGTGATTTTACATCATAATGTGCAGGACCTATAAGGCTCGCCATCCTGGCATACATTAGCCTTTGCTCTTAAAGATTGTACACAATATCAACAAACCTTAAAATAATTATACCCACTGTATAAGTAGACCTAATAACAATCTCACATGACCATACCAAGACCTGTGTTGCTTCCTGTCAATAATTCCTGGTGTATTATAGCAAATAAACAGGTCGGGGTAAAGGCAGTCCGGGGAGTTTGTTCTCGATGGTATCTGGCAAGGAACTACAATAATTCAAAGATTGCAAACTGACCGGAATAAATTGGCAGAGCCAAAGTTTTTGCAGCAAAGTTTACTGAATGGTAATAGACTGCTACCAATAACATTGTCTAGCACAGTTGTTGTTCCTGATCTCCCCATTTAGAAGTATAGTAGTTGTATTAGATGTTATAGAGAAGGAAGACTGACAAGTTTACCCATTTTTAAGTATCAACTCAGGCTGAATAAATGGGCATTGTTTGAGGATGCTGAACCCATGTTACACACAACCATTTGATAGAGCTATAAGTCAGAAATATCCAGACATACCTCCTCAAACCCTCAACTGGCCTAATATATAGAGTACGTACATCATTACATCCATACCGATTCACAAAGTTCACAACAAGCTGAGTCATCTAATGTACCAGTACAGTATTTGTGCTCAAGTCACATGCAAAATCAGTAAAGTATATATGAGGCCACCGCCGTGGTACTGTACAGGCACAAGCACCACCACGCCCGAAATATAGTTACTGTAGGTTATGTATCTAAGCTACTGTGCCGAGTAGCAACCTTGTATATAAGCTACTGTGCCGAGTAGCATTTATATATATAATTACGTGGCAACATTGCCCCGAGGCTGCCATATGGCAAGGCAGTCTCAGTCTGACTGTGTGAGCCGTGCACGGCACACGCTAGTCACCACTTGTATTTCTCTCATCCATAATAAACGGACTTCAGTGTTACCCGGTGTTTCCCTACCCATCACTGCATTCTTCAGGGAACACTTGTAACCATCAGTTACCACCCCAGCAAGTTCCAACAAAGTTTCCTCTATTACAAAGTGTGTCATATGTGGATGACCCAGCACCTGTTGTGAGTGAACCCAAGGCTGGGCCATCACGGGGCCATAAATGTCCTTGCAGGCCTCAATCATGGAAGAACAATGTTGCAAAGAGGCTTCGTAATGAAGACAAGACATATACCAATTGTATGACCCAAAAATTACTACCAGCAAGGCAGGTAGGCCCCCCATGTGCCAATGGGTGTTTCACAAAATTTGCCCTTTTCTCTATTTAAAAAAAAAGTCACTTGTACCCTGCTAGACAACATCAACCCTACTGTTTAAAAACCTATATATCTTTAAATTAGATTCTAGTTACTTACTTTTTGAATGACATCTTCTGTACTTCTTCCCTTCTGACTTGCTAACCATGATATGACATTCTTGATTATCACATTACGTGGTTTCATATACTTATGTTTCTTTCCTCCAGCATCAAAGTGTGCATAAAAATCAGTGAAGACATCAAATGCCAAATAGTCGTTACCTAATAATGTTGCAAGGAGTGGTAGATGTGCACGGTCCATCCCTGTTAACTGAAAATTACAATAAATACACTAATAACAAAATATTAAACAAAACAAATATTCACAATTCTGTGGACCTTTAATGTCCTTTAACTCAAACTTCATAAATCAAAAACAATATAACTTTTCTATATCCTTTCTTTCTAAATCCATTTTGATCTTCAAATATTTCAATATCTATTCCAGTCTTAATAAAACTCAATAAAACTTTGTAGGCATGACTTATTAAGCTATTTATCAATATAATATTCTGCTTCTGATTCAATGAGTAAAAGTTAGTGAGACCCAAAATAATAAAGAGCACATTACATTACAGGGTGTAGTCAATTACTAAAGTCCGTTTGCTTCTCCCCCATGAACCACAAACCATGAGATTCAGACTTATGAATCCAAAGCATTTATGGACACAATAATGTATCAGTCTACTGCTTCGAGTTCATGAGTTGGAATCTCGGGGTTCAGGGAAGTGGCGAGGCGAACGGACTTTAGAAGTTGACTGTCCATATTGTACCTCACAAAAACGCTCCACGCTGAAGTGACGGCAGGTCATATAATTAAAGGTCTTTGTTGAGTTCTTGGTCTTTTCAGTGCATATTTTCTTGTGATTGACGGTCTGTAGTAAAATGAATGGAACATCACACATATAAAAGTCAGAGTCATTGCTAAGAACTTCAAAACCAAATTTCTTGGACAACATAGCAATTTCTTCATCTGCCTCAAAATCCGTTTGTAAGACCATAATTCCCATTTTGTGTAATGTTGTCACAAAAACTTGGCGCCCCATGCAGGGGAAGAGTTTTGAATTCATCTGGTTACTGGGTTCAACACTAATACACATGAAGATTTGGTTTTGGATTCTCTCTCTCACTGTCCTCATCTTCTTGGCATCCAATGGCTGCCCACCGTCCATAATAACAATGGTGTCCACCGCACATGATTGTAACCTGAAGGAATAAAACTAAACTAATATTCAATGGGTTACAATATCTATTTCAAGGCTAGAAAATACTGTAGTTGGTAGCTCAAAAACTTTCATATGATAATTCATAAATTTAAATAAATTAACAAATACGTAGTATTAACCAGCAATGCATCCACCACTTGTAGAAAAAGTTGTCATGTCATGTCCCAAAAAATTACATTACCTTTGGGAGGTTTAAATGGTGTATCTTGTTATCAAAAGACTGAAAACTTGCATAATTATCAAGTTTGGGTTTTAAACTTCCCAACATGCATCAATATGTGTGTACCACTTGTCTGTGGCCTTTCATACAAAAGAGCCAAATAAGGAAGTACCCCGTAAAATGATTTTCCCTCCTTTCATTTATAAATAATTCATTTCTTTCCTCTCTTTCTCACATATTCATGGAAAAAAACTATGTAATAAATAGAAAAGTATAAGGTTTTGCTAATTAATTTAACCATGACAAATGTTTTTAATAGGGAACAACAAGGACCACGTGGGAGGAACAACACTACTAGAATATCTGGCCTGCCTGACCGAACATAATGATATATTTTAGATTTCTTTCAAGAAACTCTATTTTGTCATTTTGTACCTGCTTACATAAGGAAATTTAAAAAATTATTTTCCGTTAAGTATCCAATTGTTCAAAAAATAACATGACATTGGCAACACCTCTCGCCACCAAAACAATGTTCTCTGTGGGGTATGAGAGCTCTGTCTATCCACCCCCCCCCCCCATCCCTTGGTACCCGGGACAGTTGCCATTAGTCCCAATTTTACTTATTTAGGCTGTAATGTGTCACTAGCGAGTGCGAGAGATTCATAAATACAACGGCGTTTTAAAACAGAGGTGATGATTACTTCCTGCCGTTTTAAAATGACGGTGATGCATTATGGGTTAATTAGGTAGTTCATCCAATAAACTGAAGAAAGTTTTAAAAATTTTATGTCTAAGTAGTTCAAAATTCTCTAATGCATCACTTCTCATCATCCTTCTTGACATTAAATAAGGAGGAATTATCTGGCTAACACTAAATAAAAAAGACTAATCTCATTTTAGTTAGGGAACTCAAACAAAGTAGGTACTGGCAGCCCTCATCAGGTACACTCTCTCTATAGCTACATAATTTACCAGCTATGGAATCCCACTGTAGAAAAAGATAAATTACTTTAGAGGGCCACAAATTACAGTCAAAATATACAGTACAGTACTATACTCTCATTTTTTCTGTGTTTTATCCTCTGTAGTGGGATGTTAGTGTCACAATTATGTGGTACAGGTATCCCTTGCTATATAAATGGGTTAGGTTCCTTGAAAACCATTCTTGAAGTGAACAACAACAAAACACCTACTTGTGTTCTGTACTGTAACATAATACCTAGCACATTAAAAATTAATAAAATATAAATTTGGTACATTAACTTTAGGGTTAGGGCTCACCATAAAAGGTGGGCTGAGTAAGTAGCCCTAATATGTGTAAGTCAGAATACCTTTTGCATACTGAAGTAAGAAAGAGGTGTAAGAGTAAAATACAGAATTAGTATAAACGAATATTCATAGAGCGAACGTTTGTATAACAAGGGATACATGTACAGTATTATACTTTTCTTCACATATATTTTTACATATACATAATTTATAAATTAATGAACACTCACTATATGCAATGTATTTTTCTGTCATACAAATTTCAAGTCAAACCTAAGCTACTTTGGACTGCACCACTCTTGATACTCCACTAATGCCTGTTGGAAGATGAAAGGGTATACAGGGTAGTACATTGGTAAAGGATACCATACTGCAATGCGGCTCGTTGCTGATACCTATACAAAAAGAGGTATGTAGTGGATATTAGTCCAGTTGTTGGTTGAGCAGGATTTTTAGAAAAACACCAGAAGCAGTTTATACAAATAAACAAAACTTTGTGGAAATGTTAATTACAATCTATTAAGTAGATAAGTGGATATGAGAATCCATTCAATGTCATCAGATATGTTTTAACAGTTTTTCTGGTAAGCTAGGCAGAGTTAGTTAAGTTACTGTTGGTTAGGTTGGTTGGGTCAAGTTCTAATAGATTCTGTGCATTCTCATTTACATTTATCGCTTTAATAGATTGTAATTAACGTTTCTAGAAAGTTCCATCCAATTCTATAAAATCCTTCAGGTATACAGTAAGTCTAAAAAAACCTACCTAACTGACAACTGGACAAATACACTATCCACAATCAAAGAGGTACATTGAATTAATATACTGCTAACTAACTTACCTCTGAAAGAACTGTTCCACATAGCTGGCATATTTATCATAATCTCCGCCAAATACACAATTTATTCCCGTACATTCATAGTACAGGGTATGAGCTAAGTTGTTGCCGTCAATGATAATTCTGCAATGATGAAGCTTGTGCCGCTCCAGAACATCACTGAGATGCTCATGAATGTACGTGGAGAGGCCACGAATTCCCATTATCTAGAAATTACATAAGTACAGAATATTAAAAAAGAAACATTGTGGATATTTTGGCTTGACTGGTTAAGTTCTTACTAATGCTATTTTACCTTGAGTAAGCTTTGATTGATTAAACTTTCTGTTTAATATGACAGGGTCCCCCACCCCACCCCGGCTAGGAAGTTAGGAAGGTTTCTTTAGTTGGTTAGGTCATATTCTATCAGGTTCTAGTAAACATTGCCTCTTTTATAATGATAACTGTGGAAATAATTATAAAATTGATTAACTTCTGGTGGTGGTGGTGTTCTCAGACACTACCATATTTTCAACCTTTTTACAAGTTAGGTAAGGTTTTCAAAAGCTTGTTTGATGTTGTTTTTAGTATTTCATCCCACATTTTTCCCTTTTTCCCTCTACTGCCCACTTTGAACAACCAATATTGTTAGGTAATTGGGGAGGTCTATTGGTTAAAATATTCGAAAAATATAAATTTACGACGGAAACGTAATAGAATACTGTATAACTTTTCTTTTCTTTTTGCTTTCTCCCTATATAAATAGAAATACGCAATTCCATATTCGACCTAAAATGAATTGTTACCTCTAGTCTTGTTAGCAATTACTAGGCACAACAGTAATATGGTTAGGTAGCAATTACTAGGCACAACAGTAATATGGTTAGGTAGCAATTACTAGGCACAACAGTAATATGGTTAGGTAGCAATTACTAGGCACAACAGTAATATGGTTAGGTAGCAATTACTAGGCACAACAGTAATATGGTTAGGTAGCAATTACTAGGCACAACAGTAATATGGTTAGGTTAGGTTAGGTTAGGTTAGGTTAGGTTAGGTTAGGTACATGCACTTGATCTATTAACTCAGATTAAATTAAGTTTACCAATTTTTTGTGACACCAAATACTAGTCGAGAGGTGATTGGCAGTCCAATTTATTCATGTAGGACCATTATTTGACTTCATTCCGGCTACATTTGGGTAATTAGTCGGACCCTTGAAACTGTGTTCAGTAGTATTCAAGCATAGTTACCCACTGTACTCCTACGATCTACCTATATTGTATAACTATTTTGTCTATATTCATGCTGCACTGCATACCTGCATAGTCTATATACATATTTATCCAATTATAAAATCTGCAATAACAATATTACTGAATAAATATCATTATTACTATTATTACACCAATTGTATCACGCGTGACCCTGATCAACACTTTTCATCGACCAAGTTTAGTTTTTGCCCTTAATGGATAAAATTGACACTAATATCCTGTAGTTTGGTATTGTCACCAAGAAGATAATAATTAATAGTACATTTAGATGTATTAAGGTTAGTTAGGTTGAGTAACCGAGATCAGTGTGGACTAGACCCAGGGAACAGCGAGACACTGAGTGGACGCTTAGAGACACAACACATAACACGAGTAGCTCTGTTTCCCTTCTAAGGAGGACACGTGCTAAAACAAAATAATAATTATATTAATGATAATGGAGCAGATGGCTAACATCAGAAGGAATTGTTGGACTTCGTTCATTTTTTTTTCACCTATGTTCTTTGGGTGACATTAATAAAAGCGGTACGACAACTGTTTAATTTTAATTATTAGTATTTTTATAGTTTTCTCCATCTACGATCATAAATCACCTCTAGTGGTCATGGTATGAAGGATGAGGGATATTTCAGGGTAAAACGTGGTGAAAAACTAATTATACGACACTAAAAGGATGTCTCTACGTGCTATGTACTGTACACAAATAAATTAATTATTTGCCGTAAAAACTCCACCGAAAATTCTGCCTTGTCTAACGTTTACTTTTCCTCTTCACCACTGATCGGAATTACTACATTGAATGGGGGGTGCTTGAGAACATTCTTGCTGTTTATCCCAAATTTGCTTGCCCACACTGGTTAGTCTTCAATTAGAATATGACGTCCGATGTATGTGAACCACTGACCTATATGTACTTTTACTTTTACTTTACTTTTATCCTCTTCGCCACTGATCGGCTTGTTTGCCGCTTGGGCGATCGGTCACGTCTCTTTAAATTTATATTCTTCACCAAAAGATCAGCTCGCTAGCCGCCCGGGCGATCGGTCACGTCTCTTTTCCTTTATATTCTTCAACAAAAGGTCGGCTCGCTAGCCGCCCGGGCGATCGGTCACGTCTCTTTAAATTTATATTCTTCACCAAAAGATCAGCTCGCTAGCCGCCCGGGCGATCGGTCACGTCTCTTTAAATTTATATTCTTCACCAAAAGGTCGGCTCGCTAGCCGCCCGGGCGATCGGTCACGTCTCTGTCACGCACTGTTGGCAAATACTGGGCATGCACCGGCTCCTGAATGTACCTAAACCCGCTCCAGTGTTAGTCAAGTCTTGTCTTGAAAGAGCTCACACTCGGTGCCGTCACAACACTCACTGGTAGATTGTTCCAAGAGTTTACAACCCTCACTCCGAAAAAGTTTGCCCTCACGGTTTTCTGGACTTGCGGCTTCTTCAATCTTGAGCTGTGACCCCTTGTGGGGCGAGCGTCCGCCAGCTCCAAGTAAGGACACTCAACTGAGTAGTGCCCCCTGAGATGTTTATACACCTCAACTAGGTCCCCCCTTGCCCGTCTGTAGTATAAGCTAGGCAAGTTCAGGCGCTCCAATCTCTCAGGGTAGCTGAGGTGCCGAAGTGCAGGCACCAGTCTGGTGGCCCTCCTTTGAACATTTTCAACCAACTGACAGTCCCTAGCATATCTCGGGGACCAGATGGGGTGACAGTACTCCAGATGGGGAAGCACTTCACTCCTGAAGATCGTCACGAGGGACGGACCGCCTAGATATCTGAACGACCTTCTTATAAGACCCAATAATTTATTTGCATGATTTACCTTCTTCTCACAATGGCCCGAGGACTTCAGCTCATTGTCAACATACACACCTAGGTCCTTCTCACACACAGTCTCAACTAGTGCATTTTCTTCATCCCGTTGGGACATATGATACGCCTCCTTACCGTTGGTACGCCCCACGTGTATCCTCTTACACTTCGTGACATTGAATCTCAGCAGCCATTTCTTCGACCATTCCTGGAGTCCACAGAGGTCCTTCTGCAGCTCTTCACAGTCCGCTTGGTTCTTAATTTCCCGAAATAACTTGGCGTCATCGGCAAACATTTGTATGGAGGAGTGTACAACGTCAGGCATGTCATTTATGAAACAAACAAACAACAGCGGGCCCAATACACTGCCCTGTGGTACCCCACTTGTTACAGGTACAGATGACGATTTCGTGCAATTAATCACCACACACTACTTGCGGTCATGTAGAAAGTCTTCTATCCACGCTAGGACATTTCCCCGAATTCCGTACCCTTCCAGTTTGATTTTCAGCCTTTCGTGGGGTACACTGTCGAAAGCCTTGGCAAAATCTAGGTAAAATTGTCGATATTACCACCCCGTTTCAGAATATGGGTCCAAATATCCAATACCTTGAGCAATTGTGTTAAGCAAGAGCGCCTCGGCATAAAACCGTATTGGCAATATTTTACAAGGTTGTTTCGTAGTAGATGTTCCATCGCGGCATCTCTGATAATACTCTCAAGTACTTTACATATTATGCTGGTCAGGCTCACCGGTCTATAGTTGTTCGTGGAGTGACTATCGCCCTTCTTGAAGATAGGACTCACATAAGCCACTTTCCATTCACTGGGGACCATTTGTTCATCCAGGCATTTACAAAACAGGATGTTTAGGGGCTCTGCAAGCTCGTTGCACAGCTCTCTTAGCACTCTAGGATGCACCATGTCAGGTCCGGGACTCTTATGGACCTCTAGCCTGGACAGTTTATTTCTAATACCCTCTTCTGTGAACACAATGTGGGTCAGTGCTGTGTCGAACCGTCTGTCCTCAAACGCAGGAAGGTTAGTTGTATCCTCTCTTGTGAACACTGAGGAAAAGAAGCTGTTCAATGCCTCAGCTTTATCCAAGTCAGAATCTGCGTAACTACCATCTTCAAGCCTCAGGTCTGATACTCCTACTCGCGTTTTCAATTTCGACTTTGCATAGCGGTAAAATGCCTTTGGGTTTGACTTGACCTCGCGTGCAACCAGCCTCTGGAACTCCTTTTCAGCCCTCCTACACTCTATCTTTGCTTGGTTTCTGGCTCTTGCATACATCCTCCTGTCTTGCTCATCGTTTGACCCAACCCACTGAATTACTCAGAATAGGCAAACTGTACTACAAGCTTTGTCAATAAATAGTTAAAATAAAAACTAAAACTCGTTAGCCGCTTGGGCGATCGGTCACGTCTCTGTTACGCACTGTTGGCAAGTACTGGGCATGCACCAGTTCCTGAATGTACCTGAACCTGCTCCAGTGTTGGTCAAGTTCTGGTCTTGAAGGAGCTCACACTGGGTACCGTCACAACACTCTCTGGGTGTTGTCGTCTGCTCTTTATGTAATAGTTGTCTGCTCTGTCTGAGCGGTTTTATTTTCTCGTATTTTCTTTCTTTTATCCTCTTAACCACTGATCGGCTCGTTAGCCGCTTGGGCGATCGGTCATGTCTCTGATTACTCTTCCTTTTCTTTTATCCTCTTCACCAAAACATCGGCTCGTTAGCCGCTTGGGTGATCGGTCATGTCTCTGTTACACACTGTTGGCAAGTACTGGGCTGAGGGATTTTTTCAAAGTTCACGAGATGATGTAATGGGCAATTTCTGGAACTATCGAGAAAATTTTTCCGTTACCCGGAAAATTCCGGAAAGTTCCGGGGAAGAGGATATTTTTTCCGGCTTTGAGACAATCGTCTAGTTACCTGGAAATCTCTCATTCCCAGAAGTGCTCTGCACCAATTGGTCCGGCTAACAGAGATATCACTGTATTGATAATTTACAAGTACGGTACTCCTGCGTGATCCAACAGGACAAAGACTATACCTACAGTATACGAAAGCTCGTATGAAAGCTATTGAATTAACCATGCGCCGCAAAGCTGGAATCAGCGCCATCTATCGGCAAGGCCCCAAATAAAATCTAGCTCCGAAAGGGGGGGGGGTCAATCTCAAACTCCACTTCTTGTGTTATTGTTTGTATCCTACTCACTGCGCCATGTTAGAGTGCCAACCCAGGGAATAAGTAAAGGCCGCATCCATAGTCCCTTTATTGGCGAAGATGACGGAGACAGACATGTCCTCACAGCAAGACATCAGAGCAGGAACTGAGCTTGTCCGTTGGAACCGATAGTGTTGCCAGACCGCCACACACCCCAACATTAATATAGTGTGTTAATTATGCATTATACATACAGTAAACCCTCGAAGATCTGGACCCTTGGTTCTGGGCTAAGAAGGTCCTAGAAGTTTCCCTAAGAAACATTCCGAAACCAGAGCAAAGAACATTTTAAGCCCGAGGGCGCTGCTTAACCCGTCAGTTGCTTGGATGCAGGTGCCTGAGGTGGGAAACAAACGGATTTGACAATTGTGATTTGTGGAATATTATTTATTCACTCTAGTAATGATAATGTTTCTTATTGTGTTATCATAAGTAAATGCATGGTTTATATATGGTAGTTTGTTTACCACTACATTACTACTGCATTTTTGGCATTTCTTATATCATTAATTATTCACTGGAGGAAATCAATGAAATATAAAAGTAGGATGAATTTCTTTGGATTTTCCACACAGGAATAACGGGTGAGGCATGGCTGCAGTGTACAAACTTAGCGCCACCGAAGTCAACGTACTCTGTAAACAAACAATCGGCGATCTCACAGATACCAACGCCATTTGCCTCAGAGGCCCTTCGTACACACACCCAAAAGCTCGAGCTTTCCTATATATGGTAGTCTTTGCAACAGGGCATGTGACAGTTGTGACACCCACCACCGGGACCTCGTCATTGCAAGCTAGTGTACTATATCAGAGCAGGTGAAATAAACAATGTCCTTAAGTTTTAATGTTTAATGATATATTGGTCACATATCACATGAAATTGGGACTACAAAACAAATAATATGGGCAGGAATTAAGAGCTCCACTTATAGATTATATATACCTTGTAACCATGAGTGTGCGATAATAACACCAAAAACTTACTTCATATTTTAAAGTTGGAACCAAATACTGGACAGTGAGTTTACCGTCACATATTTTGCTGTAAACTGTGGTTTGCTTACTGTAACTGTCTCACTCTTCCCACTTACTGTACTGTAATTGTCCCAGTCTTGTCACTAACTGTCCCAATCTATTCACTTTCGTCTCAATCATGTCACTTACTGTAACTGTCCCAGTCTTTTCACTTACAGTAACTCCCAGTTTTTCACTTAATGTAACTGTCCCAATGTTGTCACTTACTGTAATTCCAGCCTTGTCACTTGGTCTACTTTCTGGAACTGTCCCAGTAAGGTCATTTGGAAAGAAAAATGGTTATACAGTACAGTAGTTTGGAGCAGAAATTGTAAATTTTCTTCAAGAGTCATGTTAGCCTAATTAATAGCAATTAACCATCAGTTAAATTGTCACCGAGGCATCATATCTAAGTTAGTAGATCAGCAGGTTCATGAGGCCAACTATCACCTCAGTTAGCGATTCAGCAGAGGGTGTAAAACTCGATGCCCAAGGAGACGATATAACTTAAGACCATGTTCACATATGCATTTGTCTCCTGGCGCTGAAGGAGAAGCACACAGCTGAGGTAATACTGTACTGTATAAGCTGCAGTACAGAAGTTTGTTGCACCTCAGCTCCTAAGTCTACTATAATGATGATAAAAACAAACTTCAGTTACCAAACAGCCTGTCCCCAAAGTGACTCTATCACATTGCTGTACTTTATATTCATCACATTAGCATTATAGTACAAAATATTCACAACTTTGAAGATTATAATGTACAGCAATGACAATTGAAAAACTGCATATCACATTTATTGTAGCACCAATTTTGGAATACGTGTTCCAACACAACCTGGTATTTTTATTTATTTTTTAACCAAATACCTTGACTGGATCTCTGAATATATTTCATAATATTTTAGATGGCACAAAGAAAGTTGTTCTCTAATCCTGGCCAGAATGTTAAGAAGCTGAATAGAAGTCAAGGCCAGATCCAGGAGGGGAGGGTCCTGGTGGTCCATTACCCCCTTTTCACCAGAAAATCCAAATAATTTTTCTTTAATGCAGTGTTATAATCGGGCATTTTTTGTATAGTAAAAAGTAATTACAATACTATGGTCTTGATATTAAGTGCACATGGCTTCAAAATGGCCTCAAAATGCCCATGATATTGGTCAGATTTCCCAAAAAATTCTGGGGGGAGCTTACATCGCTGTGTTCGCCATGTTCCCTCACCCACAACTTCTTGGACCCCCCCCCCCTTTTGATATTCCTGGATCCGTCCTTGGAAGTTGTCGAAGTGAAGCTTTTGTGTGTCCCTTTAATCACCACATGGGAATCAAAATGACTGTCAAAAGTACAAATTAACTCTTACTAATTCAAAAATCAGTATTAAGATACTGTACTGCATAAGAAATACAATGGCCTTAACCTCGTAAGATTGCCAAACGTCTTGATATTCAGATTCACCATTTTATTCACATTAATAAAATGATACAAGTACTGTACAGTACATTATTTAACTGATACATGTTGTCTAAATAGTGAACATTATATGCTTAAGGATTACAGTTTAAACTAATGTACCAAGACCCAAGAACAGTGTTCACCGAAGTTCTTGTAATTACAATAAGAACACAAACTGTCTTTCAGAAGGAGTATAGTATGAATAGTCATTACATGATTCTGGTTAAAAAATCTGGGAGTCAAATGTTCCTGTGTAAAAGTAGACTTATTACAAAATACCAATGTTCATTATACAGTGAGACCTCCATATAATGAACTTTTCTTTCCATATAATCCACTAGATGGGGGTTTCACATCTAATGAACCCTTAATATAACAGACTTGCCTCTTTATACTTTCTGTTAAATAGAGGTTTCATTGTATAAACATTAGAGTTGACCTGCAAGATACAACGTCATCACCTCTGTCGTCCAACTTGCTTGGCGACGGCCAATTATGAAAAAAATTATTGGTATCTATAAAAAGTTTCAACACATTATTTGATGACATATTTAAACTGTGTCAAGTTTTAGATGATGGTCACTTATAGATGGGTTTGATGATTCTTTATCACTGGACAGGTCATTAGTTAGTACAAGTTGTCTTTGAAATTTTTGCCATGATAATCAGTGTACTGTAACATGTTCACCCAGAACTGAATACTGTAATGTATATAGTCATTTTAATTTAACTTTTCTGATGTGGCTCATTGACAGTTGGCATAAACTTGAGGAAATTATTAATCACTATGTTTGTAGTCTAAAAAGCCATTTGAGATGTACATATACCAAAAAAAAAAAATTCTTCCTTTTTTACTCAACTATATTTACATAGGCAATATTTTACTTCTCTACAACAAAGATCTAATTATATTTAGAATAAAAAAGAAACATGTGAAATTAAAACTGTAAACAAGAGATATACAGGGTAAATGTGTTTACATAACAGGGTACAGGTATGATATATTCATCATCGTGGTAGTGAGGGCCAGTGATCAGTCTTAATCACTGGTGTTCTCCTGTGTAGCCAATCATCTACATGTTCTGGATGATCTCGTACTTCTTCCTCAGGTCCAGAGAATCATTACGTGGATCAGTCTTCTTCTTACGAGCCAACATTGCTCGCATCTCCGCAGCAGACATGTTCAGGTTGAGGCCGCTGTAAGCACCAGAGAATACAGGTTTACTCGAGTCTGTCATTACTACTACTGCTGCCGACCTCTACATCATTCTTACTAACATTTAACTTAGATTTCTAAATTACTTAAAACTATCTTGTACAACACTACCTGGTACTATCTTGTACAACACTACCTGGTACCATCTGGTACACCACTACCTGGTACCATCTGGTACACCACTACCTGGTACCATCTGGTACACCACTACCTGGTACCATCTGGTACACCACTACCTGGTACCATCTGGTACACCACTACCTGGTACCATCTGGTACACCACTACCTGGTACCATCTGGTACACCACTACCTGGTACCATCTGGTACACCACTACCTGGTACCATCTGGTACACCACTGCCTGGTACCATCTGGTACACCACTACCTGGTACTATCTTTAATAATAATAAAATAATAAAATAATAAAATAATAAAATAATAATAATAATAATAATAATAATAAATAATAATAATAATTCATAGTAAATAAAATGTATAATAAAAATACACAAAAATAAAATAATAATGATAATAATAATAGTAATACAAATATTAATAAAATAATAATAATATTAAGTGAGAAACACGACCTAGACCTATGAATTACTATTATTATTACACGTACTATATTTTCACCCCCCAGGCCCTGATGTGGGTCTGTGACCTGTGCCCGGGTGGGCTAATCCCCGTAAAAAAAAAAACACAAAAAAACAACCTAACTTAACCATTCTGAAATCTGAAACACATCTGGCCCCAAGGATTTCAGATAAGGGATTGTCAACCTATAATAAAACACAATAGTTACCAATTACACTTTCCAAAACAGAAGATCTCCCACCAATCACACTTCAGGATGCAATCATTCTGCCAAATTCTAAAATAAATATGTTAGGCCTTGCCATTTCCGCTTAATATATCGTGGAAGCCATACATCCACAACATTGCTAAAGCTGCCTCCCAAAAGCTGGGAATGTTGTACAGATGCCATAGCTACTTCACTCCTAAACAGTTGCTTCAAGTTTATAAGAGATTCATTCATCCTAACTTGGAGTACTGCTCTCATATCTGGGGTGGCTCTTCTTCTGTCCAACTGTTAGATAGGGTGGAATCAAAGGCATTTCGACTTGTTAATCTCTCTTCCTTTTCTCTTCGCCGCAATGTTGCTTCACTCTCTCTCTCTTTTACAGGTACTTAAACGGGCAATGCTCGGTGGATTTGGCATCCTGCGTACCACCGGCAAGGCCGTGGGCTTTAACACTCGTTTTGCCCGGGGTGCCCACCGTTTCTGTGTGGATGTCGGTCACACTAGAATAACCTGTTATAGTACATCCTTCTTTCCTCACATAGCCAAACTGTGGAATGCTCAGCCTTATTCTGTGTTTCCATACTCTTACAATGTCTCACTTCAAAAAGCTGATTTTCTGGCATCTTCGTGGTGTAGATTAATATACTGTAGTCTCTTTCTCTTCTATTTTTAATTTCTTTTTACTCTTATTTTTTTGCACCCCTCCCCCCCCCAGGCCACAGTGTGGGTCGATGACCTGTGTCTGGGTGGACTATTCCCCGAAAAAAAAATATATATACTGTATACTGGAATAAATAAAAAAAAAAGTGCTGTTACCCAATGTAGGATCAATATACAGTACTGTATTTCACTTCCTACTTCTTGTCATCTCACCCTGGCTGTGTGCAGATCCTCTCACTTCCTGTTGATGGTGGGGAGAACTTTCCCCCATAGACAAAAAAGTGCACAAGGGGGCTTACAATGCCTTCAATAGTCTCTGTTTCAGGTTTTAAATAACTTGCAATTTGTGTTATGTATCAATACAGTGGTCCCTCGGTTAACGAGCACAATCCGTTCCAGCAGGTTGCTCGTTAACCGAAAAACTCGTTAACCGAAACCATTGTTTCAATGGGTTTTTGGGTAATTGGTTCCAGCTCACCGAAAATTGCCTAAATTCAACAAAAAAGGTAGAAAAGTACACTTACTTTGAGGTGTGTATGTAGAAGGCTCCTGGATGATGATGATGATGATGACGATGGGAATTAGAATGGGGGTGGAGGAGAAGGAAGAAGAGAAGGCATTGGGGTGGAAGAGAAGTCACCCCATAGCACCATTTCACCCATAAAATTTTAGCTCTCTTGGTGTAATTCAAGATTATTTTCTTTAAATCAACACTGCACTGCATTATATATTGTCAATACGTAAAATATATTTCAAAATGACCAATAATTTGCTTGGAAACTCAGAAAAAAAGCATTTAGTTTGAGAGAGTCTCAAGCAAGATGTTACCTCCACTGAAAACAGAGAGACACTAACACCTGTCTGGTGTGTTAACAGGCTGGATGGCACGCCAGAAACTAGTTTCTTTACCTTCAATTATGTTCAATAATTGTTAAAATGACTAAAAAAGTTAATATTAAACTTTTAAAATTATTGAATAGTATAAAATTCTTGATATTTACTAAAATAGTAAGGAATTTAAGCCCTAAAAGCGATTACTGTATTGGCGGACTAATATTACAGCTGGTGGACCGCCAAATGCAAGCGAAAACATGTTGAAGTCGGCTCGTAAAAAACTCGTTAATCGAGGGATTGCTCGTTAACCGAAGTTAAGAATCTTATGGAAGACAAATAGTTAACCGAAATCTCGTTAACCGAGGCGCTTGTTAACCGAGGGACCACTGTATACATTTACAGACACCAGCTATTGTTCATCTGAATGCATCTACAGGTGTTATGATTATTTTTATCCGATTCAATGGGAGTGGCTGTCCTATTTATAAATATATAAAGACACTCTCGAAATATATTGTGTGGTGTACTGTGTAACACCAGACTAAAACTACTGCTAATCCTAGAATATAGGAGAAGGTGCTGTGGGAGTGTCCCAAGTGGGTGGAGGAAACCGACCTACGACCACCGATATCTCCTATTCTTGAGCAACACACCGCTGATGCTGTTATAATGTATTACAGTGCTTCAATAACTAAGGTCTTTAAGCACGTATACTGTACTGTGCGAGATCAGTAATTACACTAGTCATTAAAGGTTCACTCCTGCAGGTTGACTATGACGCACACGTCAGTTCCCGGCACTGTCTCTATATATTATCATTAACATAAGAAAATCAGAGATGAATATTTCTTATTTCAGATGGTGACTCATGGTTGATGTGGTGCCTCCAGTTGGTGTATGACGACTGGTACATGGCAGGTGGTGGAGGACTGCATGACACAGTTGGTAAATGATAGGCAGTGTATGTCCTAGTAAGAACAAGTACTGTATATGACACAGCTGGGAGGTACATGATGCAGATGGTGTATGGCACAGGTAATGCAGAGAAGCATCTGCCTTACCCCAAAGACCTCTCTTACCCTTGTTACGACCGTGTCGTATTTTTCTATTTTTTTTATATATAACATGCTTCCATGTTGTTCCATATTATTCCTGTAATGTGTTATATTTACTATTATATAATCTAGTCACCTTACCCTGTACTATTAAGGTTTTTAACAGTTATTATTTGTTCAAGCCCATCTTATTTCTTCATTTAGTATTGTAACAAGCATTCTTTGTTCTCTAACGACCATCTGCATCGTTAAACGACCCACCGGCAGGTCGCACTGGCAGGAAAAGGCCCTATATATAGTAGTCCACCAACTGACAGAAGGCAGTTCAGTCCTCTTGTCATACAGTTCACATCCTTTGAGTGACACTCATCACCTGTTACTTATACTTAATTTATTTGTGTTGTTCCTGTCGCCACCAATGTGGTATATCTATGCGAGTACCTATTTAGGTCTCTATTTATGTTCATCAGTATTTGCTTAGTTACATTCAAGTAATTCAGTGTTGTTTCACGTTAGTTAATTTCAGTGTTAATTTTCATAAGTTTATTCACAGTGTTAACGTAATCCAATGCTTTATTTTTATTCTTTTGATGTTTCGATGTTTAGTATCATTTGTGTCTTAAAAGTTTCGATGGTGAATCAATTTGTTGTGACAGCCTACGAGGCTCTTTATTGTGTTAATATTTAATTAATTAAATTCTTAAAGGTTTACTTTATTTATTTTTATTCCATTTTAATTTACTTCACTTTTTTTGTCTGGTTACGCCTAGAACCTGGATATTTAAGAAAATTAAGAGACGGCGTAACACCCTACAAGTCTTCTCCCTACCTCTCTTACCCTACAAATCTTCTCCCTACCTCACTTACCCTACAAGTCTTCTCCCTACCTCACTTACCCTACAAGTCTTCTCCCTACCTCACTTACCCTACAAGTCTTCTCCCTACCTCTCTTACCCTACAAGTCTTCTCCCTACCTCAGTTACCCTACAAGTCTTCTCCCTACCTCTCTTACCCTACAAGTCTTCTCCCTACCTCACTTACCCTACAAGTCTTCTCCCTACCTCTCTTACCCTACAAGTCTTCTCCCTACCTCTCTTACCTACAAGTCTTCTCCTACCTCTCTTACCTACAAGTCTTCTCCCTACCTCTTACCCTACAAGTCTTCCCTACCTCTTACCCTACAAGTCTTCTCCCTACCTCTACCCCTACAGTCTTCTCCTACCTCTCTTACCCTACAAGTCTTCTCCCCTCACTTCCCTCTTCTCCCCTCTCCTACAAGTCTTCTCCCTACCTACAAGTCTTCTCCCTACCTCAAGTCTTTTCTCCTACCCTACAAGTCTTCTCCTACCTCAGTTACCCTAGAGTCTTCTCCTACCTCCTTACCCTACAAGTCTTCTCCCTACCTCACTTACCCTACAAGTCTTCTCCCTACCTCACTTACCCTACAAGCCTTCTCCCTACCTCACTTACCCTACAAGTCTTCTCCCTACCTCACTTACCCTACAAGCCTTCTCCCTACCTCTCTTACCCTACAAGTCTTCTCCCTACCTCACTTACCCTACAAGTCTTCTCCCTACCTCTCTTACCCTACAAGTCTTCTCCCTACCTCACTTACCCTACAAGCCTTCTCCCTACCTCTCTTACCCTACAAGATGCCAAACTCTTGCAGCATCATTACTCACCCAGTTTTGTAAGTATTGTTGGTGGTGACAGGCTGTGGTGGTGGCGGCTTTGTAGTGGTGGTTGTGGTGGTGGTGGGGGGGGCCGGGGCAGACACAGGTGACGGAGCCGGAACAGGGGCGGGCTCCAACGAAGGGGGCGGCGTCGGTGATGTGCTCATGGGACTCTGAACAGCGGCAGGGAAACGGTTAATGTTAAGTTGTATAATGGATATGAGAAAAGAGGGGGCAGTGAGTTGGATAAAAAGGAAGTTATTGAGGAAGGGTCATGCAGGGAATAGAGCTATAAAAAAGTAACTGGCATCTACTCTACTTAAGACTGTACCATGACAATCTATCATCAGGACGATACGATGAACCTCTTCATAGGAAGATGTCTGCTACGAATGACAGTGTGTGGGTCGGGGAGAACCTTAGACGTTATGCTTTATGTGAGCACCACTTTTTTTGTTTTGTCTCCACTATTCATAACTCGCAAAACTCGTTCTGTGTCACAAACCAAGACAAGCCCACCATTCTGCAGGATTCACTACTGCTTATCTATACACACAATAGTATCTCTGATGCATTTCTCTCATTCCTCACATTGCAAGGAGTTTATTAACCCTGTCGGGGTTCAGGTAACATGCCGGGCCAATGTTCAGGACTAATGGTTCAATACGGGCAGAACCTGCAGCAGCTAGGGTCCCCAGTATTATATCACCTGGGCATTATGTTCTTGTCAACATCTATGGTTAACTGTCGTGAATTCTAGAAGGTCGACGAAAAAATTGTGTGATCTAGCGTAAAAACCACGTTGCCTATCTTAGTGGGTCACCACAGTACACACACACAGGGCAACACTCCCACAGGTCCCGGGCAACACTCACACAGGTCCCGGGCAACACTCCCACAGGTCCCGGGCAACACTCCCACAGGTCCCGGGCAACACTCCCACAGGTCCCGGGCAACACTCACACACAGGTCCGGGCAACACTCACACAAGTCCCAAGCACTCACAGGTCAGGTCCCGGTCACAGTCCCCGGGCAGCACTCCCACAGGTCCCGGCAGCACTCTCGGGCACACAGGTCCCGGGCAGCACTCCCCACAGGTCCCGGCAGCAGCACACAGGTCCCGGCAGCACTCACACAGGTCCCGGGCAGCACTCCCACAGGTCCCGGGCAGCACTCCCACAGGTCCCGGGCAGCACCCTGGGGGCAGCACTCCCACAGGTCCCGGGCAGCACTCCCACAGCAGCACTCCCACAGGTCGGGCAGCACTCCCACAGGTCCCGGGCAGCACTCCCACAGGTCCCGGCAGCACTCCAGGTCCCGGCAGCACTCCCACAGGTCCCGGCAGCACTCCCACAGGTCCCGGGGCACTCACCGGGCAGCACAGGTCCCGGGCAGCACTCCCACAGGTCCCGGGCAGCACCCCACAGGTCCTGGGCAGCACCCCAGGTCGGGCAGCACTCCCACAGGTCCCTGGGCAGCACTCCCCCACAGGTCCACGCAGCACTCACACAGGTCCCGGGCAGCACTCACACAGGTCCCGGGCAGCACTTCACACAGGTCCCGGCAGCACTCACACACTCACACAGGTCCCGGGCAGCACCACACCTGCAGCACTCACAGGGTCACTCACACCCTGGCAGCACTCACACAGGTCCCGGCAGGTCCCGGCACAGGTCCCGGCAGCACTCACACAGGTCCACTCACACAGGTCACCCGGCAACACTCCACAGGGCAACACTCAGGTCCCTGGCAACACTCACACAGGTCCCTGGGCAGCACTCACACAGGTCCCGGGCAACACCACACAGGTCCCTGCAACACCACACAGGGCAACACTCACAGGTCCCGGCAACACTCACACAGGTCCCGGCAACACCACACAGGTCCCGGCAACACTCACACAGGTCCCGCAACACTCACACAGGTCCCGGGCAACACTCCACACAGGTCCCCAACACTCACACAGGTCCCGGGCAACACTCACACAGGTCCCGGGCAACACACAGGTCCGGGCAACACTCACAGGGCAACACTCACACAGGTCCCGGCAACACCACACAGGTCCCGGGCAACACTCACACAGGTCCGGGCAACACTCACACAGGTCAGGTCCGGGCAACACCACACAGGTCCGGGCAACACTCACACAGAACCCGGGCAACACTCACACAGGTCCCGGGCAACATCCACACAGGTCCTGGGCAACATCTCACACAGGTCCCGGGCACACATCCCGGCAACACTCACACAGGTCACAACAGGTCCCAGCATCCACAGGTCCTGGGCAACATCTCACACAGGTCCTGGTCTGGGCAACATCTCACACAGGGCACATCTCACAGGGGCAACATCTCACACAGCAACACTGGCAACACTCACACAGGGGCAACACTCACACAGGTCCTGCAACACCACAGGTCCCGGGCAACATTCACACAGATCCCGGGCAACACTCACACAGGTCCCGGGCAACACTCACACAGGTCCCAGACAACACTATGAATGCAAAATAGGAAGGAAAGGCATGTTTAATAATGAGGCAGTGAGTGTGTCTTATGAGAGTCTATTGAGGCAGTGAGTGTGTCTTATGTGAGTCTATCGAGGCAGTGAGTGTGTCTTATGAGAGTCTATCGAGGCAGTGAGTGTGTCTTATGTGAGTCTATTGAGGCAGTGAGTGTGTCTTATGAGAGTCTATTGAGGCAGTGAGTGTGTCTTATGAGAGTCTATCGAGGCAGTGAGTGTGTCTTATGAGAATCTATTGAGGCAGTGAGTGTGTCTTATGTGAGTCTATTGAGGCAGTGAGTGTGTGTCTTGAAAGTCTATCAAGGGCAGTGAGTGTGTCTTATGAGAATCTATTGAGGCAGTGATTGTATGTATGAATCTATTGAGGCAGTGAGTGTGTCTTATGAGAGTCTATTGAGGCAGTGAGTGTGTCTTATGAGAGTCTATTGAGGCAGTGAGTGTGTCTTATGAGAGTCTATTGAGGCAGTGAGTGTGTCTTATGAGAGTCTATTGAGGCAGTGAGTGTGTCTTATGAGAGTCTATTGAGGCAGTGAGTGTGTCTTATGAGAGTCTATTGAGGCAGTGAGTGTGTCTTGTGAGAGTCTATTGAGGCAGTGAGTGTGTCTTATGAGAGTCTATTGAGGCAGTGAGTGTGTCTTATGAGAGTCTATTGAGGCAGTGAGTGTGTCTTGTCAGTACGTTTAGGCAGTGAGTGTGTCTTGTGAGTCTATTGGGGCAGCGAGTGTGTCTTGTGAGTATATTACAGCAGTGAGTGTGTCTTGTGAGAGTCTAATGAGGCAGCGAGTGTGTCTTGTGAGTCAGTGTAGGTGTGCGTGGTGCTGTTCTCAAGGTGCATGTGATGAGACATATGCCGAGAAATATAAATTGTTATTAAATATTACCAAAGATTATAAAAGGTGGAACGGGATAGTCGACTTATGTTGTGGTGGTACAGTATAACCCCTCCATCCATCTTTCATTTAACTTCTCAGGTGTGTCATTATTTATCAGGTAAGTTGAACATTGTTACCTGAATCTTAATAAAACCCACCAAACCATATGTCGACTGTTTTCTTTTTTAATGTGGAAGTAAATTCATTGACTACTAAGAGATAAATGCTAGAGGTACAAAGATACAGTAATTAAAATCAGTAGAGAAATGTTGGTTTGAAAAATAAACTTGTTCAGCCAGTCTGAGTAAAAGAAATGATTGTCAGCAGCCAGACAAAGAAGCAGTCTGTTCCGTCACATAACAGCAGATGAACCAAACCTCTTATCAAGTTAATTATTTTGTCTCTTCAGTTTCATCCAGTGTTGTGAGGAAGGGAGGCGTGAGGGCAGTTGAGGGTATTTCCCCGTCTACTCTCGCCCCCACCCCCCAGATCCAGCACCACCTGTGGTGACTGGCTACATCAAATCTCTCTTCCTCCTTACTTCTGGTTTTACGAACTTTACCTAGTTTTAGGAAAAGTTAATCAACCAAGTGATAAATATTATTTTACCGTCATAAACATAACTAAATGTGCAAAGTTTTACACAACCAATACTGTAGAGTTGAATGACAAATAGTCCCATACTAGACTGACTGTATGAAGAACAACACAAATTATGAAAATGACTGTACTTTTGGTATTATTAGAGTATCTAATAGCAGTAAACTTGTATATCTTCTATAAAGTTATTTACTCATATTAGAACGCACTGAGAAGGACTTTGTCCTTGACTGAGCACCGGTAGATGGCGGGGAGGAGAGGGGTGGGACCCAGACACTGGTAGAAACATCTCGACTCTGCTTCAGTATTCACTCATATAAGTAAGACAAAAAGTGGGTGGGTTATAAAATTCAAAAGAAGCTTGAGGCGAGAAGCAAAGAGGAATATGTAAATATCAATAATTTAGCAAGTGATTATTAATACTTGTATTAACCAATATTAAATGTAGAGAAAGTATAGGCTGCACCCAGATCATATGAAGGAAGTTGGTGAGAGAACCTCTATCTCTGCCCACCACACATGTCAGTGCTGGTGTAAGGTTCTTGGATAATGCGGAATGTTAATAAGTATGGTTGCATCTGTCACAAGGCTCCAACCTCAACGTGCTCATGTACTGTGACTGAAGCGTCAAGTGTTATGATGACTTTCTTAAGCCGTCATCAAGGATCAACTTACCAACAATAAATGTAACAAGAATTACCAGAAAAGAGCGAGTCAGTTTTTGTCACATGGAAGTTGGTAGCACAGGTGAAGCTAATGAGTTACTGAAAAGGAAAATATAGACAGTTATTATAAAATTTGAAGAGGAATTATTCTCGACTTTCAAAGTTTATTTATAGTGTAGTGATGCCCTGTAGAGGGTGAAGGTGCGTGGTAACTTGCAGTGGGTGAGAAGAATACAAGTGTAACTCATGCAAGCTGGAGTGTACAGTACTGCTGTGCGGCGGTGTGCGTGTGGACAAACCTGCGTGGAAGGATCAGTGTGGGCGGCGTCTGAACCGCGTGAGGAGTGTGACCCAGCAGAGGACGAGGCTGAGGACGAGCGCCGGGAGGTTGAGGTTGGGGGCACCGCGCCCCCTCCCACCTCAGCCCCGCCCTTGCCCTCCACCAATTCTACGTTGTCGTACTCAGCTTCCAAGTCGGACTCGGGAGAGGGCGGGGCCTCCTCCTTGGGAACCTCAGCCTCTACTGCTTTGCCTTCTTCAGACACAATACCTTCAGCAGGTATTATTTCGCTCTCAGACGGGGCTCCGTCACCTTCTTGCGAAGACGAATCATCAATTGAAGGCTTAAGTTCTTCCTCAAAATGTTTGTCATTATCATCTTGGAGAGATTCGTCTTCCGCTGGAGGTGGAATGTGTTCCTCCACAGGCTTTATGTCGCCCTTCTGCGAGGAGTCATCCCCCTCCTCGGGCAGAGGGGAGGGAGATCGATCCCTTGGGGCAGGGGAAGGAGAGCGATCCCTTGGGGCAGGGGAAGGAGAGCGATCCCTTGGGGTAGGGGAGGGAGATCGATTCCTTGGGGCTTCCATAGTCTCCTCCACGTCCTCTGGGACGGACTCCTTTTCAGTCTCAGTAGTGGCGGCCGCCGGCTGCTCACACACATGCACACATGCAAGACAAACATTAGCACAGGCAGGAAGATAGAGAAAGAGATAGATAGACAGTGGCATCACTATCTGCTGTAGCGGCGTCAGGCGGGTCGTGACGGCTGTGGTGGTAGTGGCTCTCACTGCCAGGAGCCACATGCATTCCAGATGAAAAAACAAAAGCAAACTAAAATATATATGACAAGAGAAATATGGGGAGTAATACAATAAAAACACTAAACGTGGATCTAGGAGACTCATCAAGCCTTTATACAATGCCATGAACATTATGTAGATACAGTAACTGGAAAAACACAAAACTATTAAACAAGATGGTGATGGTGTGCAACACTAGACATGCAGTAGTAATTCACAAGGTAATATATTACTATGATTTTTAGAGATGTAAACAGTGAGAGGATGACAGGCAGGCATGTACTTGATTATGAGATGTGATGTGTCTTAGCCTCCCTCTGGTACTAAACACAACAGAGGAGAGCGCCAGCTTATGTACCTCGAGGACGACTGACCACTGGTGATATAGTGGTTAGCATCCTTGCATCGCAACCGAAAGGATATAAAGGATATGGGCTCGATTTCCAAGCGAGGAAGAACTATGATCAAGTTTCTGGGTGTAATTTATCTATGGCTACTTGGTCTTCACTGAGGACCTAGAAATAGAGATTAGTGGATCCTGTGCAGTTGATGAGTTGTCCGTTCTTCCGGGATAATCCTTAAACATCTCCAGGAGTCCCAGCTCACTATAAGTATGAGCCTATTGGCCCATACTGGGCAGTCCCGTTTACACCCAACCCCTATCGCTCATATATCCGTCCAACCGATATTTGAAGCTACTCAGCAAGTTAACGATGATGTTTGGTAACTTGTTCCACTCATCCACTACTCTTATTTCCAAACCAGTGTTTACCTAACTTGCACCTAAATCTAAATTTGTGTAAACTAAAACCATTGCTACGAGTTCCTTCCTGGTTGGATAGCTCAGCCATGTTAATATTAGTGATTACTGTATAATTTTTATCTGGGTAAATATTTAGTAGTTGTCACCACCTATTTGACTTTTGAAAATGGGTTTTTATAGTGTAAATCGTCGTGTTAATACAAATATGACTTTCACTGCCATCGGAAATGAGCAGTAGTTGAGATTTTGAAGAAAAAAAAGTAGGTCAAAAAATGTAAAACAAAAAAATAAAAAATCTTACCTAGGCAGCTACCACACAGGGAGGTACTACCACACAGGGAGGTACTACCACACAGGGAGGTACTACCACACAGGGAGGTACTACCACACAGGGAGGTACTACCACACAGGGAGGTACTGCCACACAGGGAGGTACTGCCGCCTGGGAAGATATTGGAAGCATAATGTGTTGTCTCATGGTAGACCCTGCCTCATTTACACACAATTGCAGGGTCTCAATTGTTTCTCTTACTATTGACAACACAACATACATACATTGTTCCTCACTTTTTTTTTCATTTTGTATTTTGTGCATTATTATTATCATTATTATTATTATTATTATTATTATTATTATTACATTTTCGCCCCCCAGGCCCCGATGTGGGTCAGTGACCTGTGCCCAGGTGGGCTAATCCCAGTTAAAAAAATAAAATAAATAAAATAAATAAATACAAAATCCTAACCTAACCCCGAGTGTGTAAGAAATTTAAGTAAGAGATACAGGAGGATAGAAGGATGCGACTTGAGGAAGTGGTCTCTTACCACAATACCACTACACTCTCGTAATGACATCTTGGTCACTTTACAGATGAAACAAGAAAACCGTGAGCCCTAAAATATGTCAACGGCTGCTGCTTCATTGTCCAAAATGCTCTGAATAATGCGGCAGCCAATCAATGTACAATGAAAGACAAAAGTCGTGTCGTGAAATTTGGTGAAAATATATGGCGAAGGGCTGAAACTTTTGGTGCACTCTGCCTAGTGGTGGGGCTCTCAATGTTTTACCAGTTATATTTAATCTTGGGACAAAACCGCGTCACGACTTTCGCCCTTGATTGTACATCCATCACCATCTTCCAATTACCCGCGAATGGAGACTTGTGCTGATTAGTGTACGAGTATTACGTCACATCCGCACTCTTGCTGATTGGCGTGCACGACAATGACGTCACATCCGCACTCTTGCTGATTGGCCAAATATTATAAAATAAAAGTTAAAATAACTCGAAAACTATAAACTTCCGACGGAAACGTTTAGAATTATTATTTTTTCCTCTATCTCCCCATAAATGACTCAATATTCCATTAGGTGGTGGCGACTACTAAACATTAACCTTTATTTTTTTTTACGGGGATAAGCCCACCCGGGCACAGGTCACTGACCCACATCAGGGCCTGGGGGCGAAAATATAATTACAATAATAATAATAATAATAATAACTATTATTATTATAATAATAATTAATAAATATTAATAACAAAATAAAAAAAAATATAAAACAATCATAATCATAAATAAATACAAAATCGAAAAAAATAAATCAAGAATGAGAAATGATAAACATTATGTATGTTGTATTGTCAAAGTAAGAGAAACAATTGAAACCCTGCAATTGTGTGTAAATGAGGCAGAAAGTCAGATCAGCAACCTGGGACTTGGTCACAATTTTTGTGATGCCTTAGAGCAGCAGGGTCTACCATGAGACAACACATTATGCTTCCAATATCTTCCCAAGGCGGTAGTACCTCCCTGTTTGATAGCTGCCTACTACCTGTATTTTTCTGGCTAAATAAACTGTTGCAATCAATCATTCTTATGCTAGGTATTACGTCATACACGCAGGGAACATTACAACACAAAAAATACAGGAAATACTGAATTTATCTTTCATTATTATTATATTTCAAATTTTGTCTTCAAAACACTTAAAACAAACCCACCAATTCTCACACACACACACACCATTAGGTAACACGTCAAAACTCGAATGTTATCAGATGACGATACGGTATCAGAGGACGGAAGCCAACGACCTACCTTTCCCCCACTCCTATCACTCTACTCTTTCTCCCCACTCATGTCTCTGCTACAGTCTCCCTACTCCTGACTCCCAGCCTCTCTCTGCCCACTCTACACCAACATTCTCCCTCTCACAACTTCACTTCCAAAGTGGAGGTGTAGAAGGGTAGGAGAGTCAGGTCACGTCAGTTGTGTGTGTGTGTGTGTGTGTGTCGAGGTCTCCTTACTGTCAACAAAGTCACATTATAATACTCCTCACGTCCAACACCAGCCTGAGAATTTATTACTATCTCTCTCTCCTCTTACTCTCCTCGATGTTACTATAGCATGCGGTCTACAAGATATTTAGGTTGTTTTGTTAGGTTAGACTAAAGACATCTTTGTAGACCGCACGCCATAGCAGCACCCTTTCCTCTCGTCTCTAACCATGTGTGTGTAGGTAAGAACATAAGAATGGAGGAAACTGCAGCGGGCCTATTGGCCCATACTGGGCAGTCCCGTTTACACCCAACCCCTATTGCTCATATAAGCATCCAACCTATGTTTGAAGCTATCCAGCGTATTCGAGTTAATGATGATATTTGGTAACTTGTTCCATTCATCCATTACTCTGTTTCCAAACCAGTGTTTACCAATTTTGCGCCTAAATCTAAAATTGTATAATTTAAAACCATTGTTACGAGTTCGCTCCTGGTTGGATAGTTTGAGTACCTTTATAATGTCCCCTTTGTTTAGCCCTGACTTCCATTTATACACCTCTATCAGGTCGCCCCTCGCTCTACGTCTCTCGAGGGAGTGCAAATTAAGATGCTTTAACCTGTCTCTATACTCAAGGTTCCTAATGCCCGGTATTAGTCTTGTCATTCTCCTCTGAATTCTTTCCAATGATTCTATATCCATTCTGTAATACGGTGACCAGAAATGAACTGCGAAATCCAGGTGTGGTCTCACAAGCCCAAGATACAGTTTTAGGATGACCTTGCTAGTCTTGTAACTAACACTCCTTTGTATGAACCAAAGTACTTTATTAGCCTTGTTACAAGCAAAAACACATTGTTTACTTGGCTTAAGGTTCCTACTTATCATTACTCCTAAATCTCTCTCGCGGTCGAATTTCTCTATGGCATCGTTGTTCATCTGGTAACTGGTTTCCCTGTTTACATCTCCTATACTGAGTACTTTACATTTGTCCACCTTGAATTTCATCTGCCATTTTTCAGACTATTCAAAAAATTTGTTTAGATCTTCCTGTAGTTTTGCGGAGTCCTCGTCAGATTTAATACGTCCTATTTTAGTGTCACCAGCAAATTTACTTATGTTGCTGTCTAGGTTAGGTTAGGTAGCACATGACTAATAGTTTAAACCATCAGTCTTACTTTATATATTCAGCCTTATAGTTTAACGGTGTGAGAGTAAGAAGTAATTATTTTTTTCACCAGCGGTATAACTAAAACTATGTTATCTTCCCTTAAGCCTCATAACCCACCCACCCATCCTACCACCCACACACGTACCATACTTCTCCTTCCTGATCTTACCTAACCTAACATTAACCTTACTTAACCTAATCTATCTTAACCTAACCTAATCGGCGACCCAAACGTCCGCTCATCCCTGCCACTATGTACACACCATGGATACTTAATACAAAATATATGACTACAGTAGGTTGGAAGTTGATGAAGATGGCGAGAAAAGTTTATTTTTTGTGAAGTAAGAGGAAGGAAATTGGTGAATAATGCGGTGCTGTTGGTATGAGGAACTTGTACAGATTAAGAGTGGAATGATTGATATTGTAACCGGGACTTAAAGAGTGTGAGATACTAAATCTAACACACATCCTAGTCGACCGCAATATAATCATAACAAAGCTATTGACCTCGGGATTCGGAGAAGTCTTATACCATGGCTTACAGACTTCCTCAGTGACCGACGCCAAGCTGTACGCTTCCGAGGGGCTGTCTCCACCTTTCAGTCACTCACCTGTGGCGTCCCCCGAGG